CAAGTAGTCAAAGTAACCCAAGTGCCCATCAATCCATAAATGGATTAACAAACTGTGGCATATGTGTACCATGGAATACTATTCAGCCATAAGAAAAGATGGAGACTTTACATCTTTTTTGTTTACCTGGATGGAGCTGAAACACATTCTTCTTAGTAAAGTATGTCAAGAATGGAAAAAAAAAATATCCAATGTGCTCAATACTAATATGAAACCAATATATAAACAATTACACAACCACATGAATGATGAAACACAAATATAGTCCAGAAAGAGGGAGGGATGAGGAAAGAGAGGGTAGGAGGAGGGGATAGGACCATTGATGGGAAGAAGGAGGGCAATTGGTGGGATCTCACACAATGTGCACGAAGTGAGGGTATTCAGCACGCCCCTGGGTGAAGGGCTGTTCTACAACTTGAGCTTTACCTTGGAAGTGAGAACAATGTAACCTAAAAATGTGTTCCCTCATATTAATTTGAAATAAAAAGTAAACAAATATATATCCTTTTCTTACATAGGGGTCCTAAACACACAACTGACTACCTGCAACCAATTAAAACTACCTTGAGCTTTTGATCAGCACAATTGCTTACAAATCTGTGGATGTTTGAAATTCATAATGTAGCTCCTGTCATTGAAAATTTCTTTTGTTTTAATTAATTATTTTTTATTAAATCATAACTTTGTACATTGATGCATTTATGGGGTTCAGGGTACTGATTCAATATACAATGTGAAATGTTTACATTGAACTAAATAACACATCCATCACAATTATACTCATTTCTTAATAGTTTTGAAATGTGCCATTGCATCATGCACATTAGGTGAGGTCCCCCCAAACGCCCTCCCTCCTCCTATATCCCCACTCCCCTCCCCTCTCTTTCCTCTTCCCTTCTACTTTCTGGACTATAGTTATGTTTTGCCATTTACATGAGCATGTAGGTGGTTATATATTGATTTCATAGTAGTATTGAGTACATTGGATACTTCTTTTTACATTCTTGAGATACTTTACTAAGAAGAATATGTTCTAGCTCCATCCAGGTAAACATAAAAGATGTGATGTCGCCATCTTTTTATGGCTGCATAGTATTCCATGGTGTACATATACCACAATTTGGTAATCCATTCATGGGTCGATGGGCACTTGGCTGTTTCCATGTCTTGGCTATTATGAATTGGGCTGCAATAAACATTCTGGTGCAAACATCTTTGTTGTAAAATAATTTTTGATCATCTGGGTATATATCTAGTAGAGGAATTGCAGGATCAAATGGTAGGTCTACTTTTAGTTCCTTGAGTATTCTTCAAACTTCTTTCCAAAAAGGTCATATTAGCTTGCATTCCCACCAGCAGGGTAGTTTTCCCTTCTCTGTGCATCCACACCAACATCTGTAGTTTTGGGATTTTGTGATGTGGGCTAATCTTACTGGAGTTAGACAATATCTCAAAGTGGTTTTTATTTGCATTTCTCTGATGATTAAAGATTATGAGCATTTTTTTTCATGTGTTTGTAGGCCATGAGCCTGTCTTCATCAGAGAAGTTTCTGTTCAAGTCTCTTGCCCACATAGAAATGGGGTTATTTATTCTTTTCTTATTGATTAGTTTGAGGTCTCTGTAGATCTAGTTATCAGACCTTTGTCAGAAGCATAACCTGAAAAAATCTTCTCCCATTCTGAAGGTTGTTTGTTTGCTTTGCTCACTGTGCTCTTGGCTGTGCAAAAGGTTTTTAGTTTGATCAGATCCCAGTAATGGATTTTTGGTGTTGCTTCAATTGCCTGGGGGGTCTGATACCCAAACCAGGAAAGGATCCAACAAAGAAAGAAAATTATAGGCCAATATCATTAATTAATATCAATGCAAAAATATTTAATAAGATCTTAGCAAACTGGATTCAACAACACATCAAAAAAACTATACACCATGATCAAGTTGGTTTTATTCCAGGGTTACAGGGTTGGTTCAACATACGCAAATGTATAAATATAATACATCACATCAATAAAATAAAAAACAAAGACCATATGATTCTCTCAATTGATGCAGAAAAAGCCTTTGATAATATCCAGCATCCTTTCATGATCAGAATTCTTAAGAAAACAGGCATAGAAGGGACATTTCTTAAACTGATAAAGGCCATTTACAGCAAACCCACAGCCAATATCATATTGAATGGTGTAAAATTGAAAACATTTCCACTAAGATCAGGAATGAGGCAAGGATGCCCAGTCTCCACTGCTATTTAACATAGTAATGGAAGTCTTAGGTGTCTTAATCAGGCAAGAGAAAGTGATCAAGGGTATCCAAATAGGGTCAGAGGAGATCAACCTCTCACTCCTCACTGATGACATGATCCTATACCTGGAAAATCCCAGGAACTCAACTTCAAAACTCTTAGAAGTGATCAAGGAATACAGCAGCATCTCAGGATACAAAATCAATACTTACAAGTCAGTAGCTTTTATATACGCCAACAATAGTCAAGCTGAAAAAACAATCAAGAACTCTATTCCTTTTACAATAGTGCCAAAGAAGATGAAGTATCTGGGAATTTACCTAACAAAGGATGTGAAAGATCTCTATGAAGAGAACAAGGAAACTTTGAGAAAAGAAATAGCTGAAGATGTTAACAAATGGAAAAATATACCATATTTATGGCTGGGAACAATCAACATTGTTAAAATATCCATACTACCCAAAGCAATCTACAGATTTAATGCAATCCCTTGCAAGCACCATTGTCTTACTTTAAAGAACTTGAAAAAATAGTACTTCATTTTATATGGCATCAAAAAAAACCTCAAATAGCAAATACATTACTTAGAAATAAGAACAAATCAGGAGATATCACATTATCAGACTTCAGGCTATACTATAAATCTATATTGATCAAAACAGCATGGTTCTGGCACAAAAACAGAGCAGTAGGTTTATGGAACAGAATAGAGAACCAAGAGATGAACCCAGCTTCTTATCATCATTTGATCTTTGACAAGCCAATCAAAAATATTCAGTGAGGGAAAGACTCCCTATGTAACAAATGGTGCTGGGTGAACTGGCTGGCGATCTGTAGAAGACTGAAATTGGACCTCCCACCTTTCACCATTAACAAAAATTGATCCTCACTGGATAAAAGATTTAAACTTAAGACATGAAACTATAACAATACTGGAAGAGAGTGCAGGGAAAACACATGAAGAAATTGGCCTGGGAGAATATTTTATGAGGAGAATTTCACCTTTACTTCTTCTCATGTTCTTCACAAAACTGTTAACTTGTAATTGTTCTTTCTCTTTTTATTTCCATGATTGAAAATTCTTTTACCTGGTCTTTATCACTGCACCTTTATTCTTAAACCACCTTAGATGAATACTTCACTGATCTTTTCTAAGACAAAATATGTGTTGACATATAAGTGTTAGAGAGGGAAAAAAAATGCTGGTTTTAAAAGCCAGCCTCCTCCCCTCCCCAGAAAAGGGAAAAGAAAGAAAAACAAAGCAATGACATTTTTCAATTCAATTTTTAGTGGAGTTCTAATGACATGATAATAATTGCACACAGATGGTAATTTCTACAAAAGGTGCAAGGAAAATGAACAGCATAACACTTTCCTGCTTACCCTTCAGAAACACAACCACCCCCATTCTCTTTCTCATAGCAGCAATGTGGTGGCTCCCATTTTTAGCATCCTGAGCTACAGCTGACTGAATGGGGTTTTGAACAATAAACAGAGTTGACAAGACAAGAACAAGGGCATTCCAGTTAAGGACAATGTGTACAGTGTACAACAATGACATGCAGAAACCATCAAAAATAGGGGTGGGAGTGATGAATGCGGATCGGAGACTGAGGCTTTGCAGGTAGGTTGGCACCAAATTTGGAGGGCTTCATGTGCCACGTGAAGGAATCTCACCTGAACACTTAGGTAACAGCAAACCATTGGCAACCTTTCTTCTGTGTCCAGTCACTTCCTATGCCTCCTTCTCCTGTGTGCATTCAGGTTGAGAAACACAGTCAGCTGTACCTCTCTGACTTTTTCCATATCCATTTGTAGCACGTTTCTACAATTCAGTCCCTTTAGCCGCCCGATTCTCCGGTTCTGTGTATGTGAAATTGCTCTGGGCATGAAGAAAGCCATGACTAATTCAAAAGAAGCCTATTAGAGTGGAACTTTTGAAGACTTTTTTCAAGCAATTGAAAAATAATGAAGCATTCAGGAGAAAAAAAATACCCGTCAACTTTGGAAGCCAAGGGTGTTTGTTTTTTTTAAAGCCATGTGTCATTTTTTTATTCCTGTGCAATTTTCCTCTATGGTTTATTTTTTAAACTGGTCTTGTTTTATGCACCAAACTTGACTTCAAATCAACTAAGTTGCAGAATGTTTCGTTCTTTCAGTCCCTTCTGCTTTCCTAATAAGGACTTCCACTGCAGAGAAAACTGCTCCCTAGAATTTTACCACATGATCCAATCAAAAGTGTGCGTGCTCCTCTCAAGGCAGGGAGCGCTGTCTGTCACTAGGGGCCCACATGCTGTGGGACCAACAGAAATGTGGCAAACTGTGTAGAACTTGAACAGTAGACAAAATAAAATCCTGTCGGCTGGCCTCATAAAATTGGGGTGTGTTCTATCCCTGCAGGTTTCCTTTTTGGAGGGCGCCGAGTGTTGCTCATATTATCATTTAGCTTGTTGACGTTGTCAGCAATAGGAAAACAGGTGGCTGTTGCCCTGAGTGGAGGCTCTTTCAAATTATTCATTAAAGTCACTAGTTCTGTCACACCACTTTTCAACACAAATGTGTCAACATCAAGACCGTTGGGTGTTTACCAGGCTTCATGAAATCTGGAGGTCTTGATAGTTTTATCACTTTAATTTTGCCACACAATTCAGTAACGATGGATTTAAACAAACGTATTTATAGTACAGTTGAAAGTCTCGTGGTAAAAATAGATACAAGATCAATCCTCACGCATCCTAATTAACTTTTGCTTGGTCTTAGGAGCACGGTATTCCCACGGACATGGGCTACGCAGTGGCCCCTCACCATTCAGGCGTCTACCCTGTACACGTTCAGCTTTATGAGGCCTGGAAGAAGGTTTGGAATATTAAAATCACCAGCACTGAAGAATATCCTCATCTGAAACCAGCGAGATACCGGAGGGGCTTTATCCACAAAAACATCATGGTGAGCTTACTCCGGTATGCATAGGGTACCACCAGGTCTGCCAGATTTATAGTCCTCATGGGAAGAAAGCAAAAAATGAGAAGAATAAATATTACAAGCATAACTGTAGGAAAAGTTCCATGCTGCAAGAAACATATTTGTCATATCAAAAGTTGTTTTAATTAAAGTCATTTCTATTCTTCCAATATGACTAAAATAAATTATTTCTAACTGACACTGCTACTGGAAAGCAGGCAGTGATGTTAAAATCCTAAGAAAATGTTACATCTAACTGGAAGATGATTTTTAGTAACCACCATTTCTTTGGAAAGTTGTTTAGTATGTAAAACGAACACCAACTCTGTCTATATTAACCAGGCTGCCCTTTTACAAGGCAAACTATGTTCTTCTCTTTCCATGCGATGCTAAAAAAAACTCCACTATTTGTAGAGAGAAGCCATATGTGAAGTCCTGCCTGGTTATTAACAGATAATAATATAGAGTACAAATGACAGATGATGTTAATTAAATCATTTACATCCATCATCTAAATCTCTCCATGGCCTCTCTGTTTCGTTCTTTTTTTTTTTTACACGGTAGCAAATCTGTATTGTTCAAATATGTAGCTAATATTTTGTGAGACCTCCAAAAGCTAATGATTGAATCCGTCTTTTCCCCAAATCAAAAAATCTGAAGATGATATAGTGAACCTCGGAATGAGCGTCTTTATTTAGACTCACACACAGGGAAGCAATGCCATGAAAAAGTACCCTAAGGGGTGAGCCGCCATAACACCCTGTCACTGTCACTGACACATCTGCAGAGAAGACTAGCCTCTAGAATAGGGGGTAACTGACTTCTTGTCAGACAATTTTCCAATGTCTACAAAAATTACAGACTGGAGTGACATTTAACTTAGATCAACTCCCATCTCAACTTTTCCTTCAATAAAAACATTATAAATGCCAGATGGGGACGTAATGGTCACATTTTGTCTCCCCTGACTTACGTACAGAAAATGAACTTACCATACCTCAAGCTGCAAGCTTTATGACCAGGGAGAGCTAAGAAAACCTGGGTGACATTTTTTATTTACCCTGAAAATCTTTTATCTGTATTTTAAATGCGAGAATCCTGCAGGTAATCAAAGCTCTCCCAGAACTCCTGTTTTGATGGAACTATCCTTGTGGTTCCACTTTTGCAGCAATCCATGGAAACTCCCTATATTTGGTTTGTGGGCTCTTGGATGAGAATTTCCAAGTGAGAAATTTTCAGCAGATAGTTTATTATGCAAGGAGAGAAGACAGGGCTAGAAGCCATCTGAATAGAGAAGTAAGTTGAGACCACAACCCTCAATGTGTCCTCCTACAGAGAGACTACAAAGAAAGAAGCAGGGAATTGAGAAGCAATTCCTGCCCTTCTACAAGGCAAACTGTATTTTTCTCTTTACCAGGGTAAGCTCAAAAATGCACTCATATTTTGTTTTATAAGATGAAGGAAAATGTTTTGATGACTCATTCACAGATCAAGCTCAGACAACCACATCATCTATTCAAACCAGCCATTGATCGTGCATTTCTCATTTCAGTTCTGTAATTCACACATCACACTGACCCCACTGACTTCCCGTTAATCCCTACATTTCATCACTAATGTCTTTATGTCTTTTTATTTCCTTTCCCATAGCCACCGGATTCACTCACTGCCTTGATTTTCACGTGCTAACTGTAGGGCTGGCTTCTACTTTGTCCGTTTACGGCTTCCATCCACTCCCCACTGCACAGACAGTGCCAACTTTTTAATCTTTCTACACCACTCCCTTTATCCTAGCCTTCCCAACCCTGATTAGTTCCAGTTGTTTCCATACCCCTTAAGGTGCTCTTTGGAGACCTGAAAACAATCTGGACCAGTGTTTTTCAAACTAACCTCGTGGCACACTTGACCCTATAGTTAAGCTACTGTGGCACACTTATATTGATCAAAAAAAAGACTGCTTTGAACGTCTCTTGAAAATAATTTAATTAATGATCTTTAAAACTTTTCCCAGCACACCAGTTGAAAACCACTGATCTGGACCTTTCTGTCATCTATTTTCTGGTAGCTTCCACAGACTTACACCAGCTAAACAGCCGATAAAAGTTTTGCCATTTCCACGTCTTTGTCATTTTTTTCTACCAAATGACCTTTTGGCCACTCTACCTATTTCTCTTCCTTTTATTCTTCAATATCAAGTCCCATATCTTATATAATTGAATATAAAGCACACTGGTATATAGCAGCTCAATACCTATCTCATACCCAACTTAGAACTGCAGGGTTGCTGTTCTCCTCTGGATTCCTATAACATGACATTCGGTAATTCCATTAGGAACATAAAAACCAATTACATTTCAAGATGTTTGAGCTCTGACCAGGGTCTCTGGGCCTCTAGTTTCATTGAATTTTCAAATGGGCAATTTTTATTCTCATTTACCAAGGGACTGATGGAAAACCAGGAGTCTCTACTCTAACCCCTGCTTGTCAAATATGACTCTCTGGAGAGAGCCAGAGACCTCTAAGATATTAGACTATTATTACATCCTGACTATGTACTTGCTATATTTAATGGAAATGCTCATCAGTAGCGACTCCCATGAATCCTGCTGACAACCCTCTAGGTGGTCTTTACTGGTAGCCCCATCAGTCCTTGTTGGCAGTTACTCCTAACTAAGGCCTTAGAGGATATTGGCTTCAGGGCCCATTACCCAAGACTCTCGTTGTCCATTTTTGTCATAATCATAATCTCCCAGTTATTGTCAGCAGCTGCAAGACACTTCATTAGCATCTTGAAGTTTGGACCTGACAGTGTTACATTCCCAGACCAGGTTGAAGGGCAGTCCACAGCAGAAGGCATAAATTCCTTCCCTACCACAAGAGAGCTGTTCCAAGGAGCATGTCCACCATTCTATATAGCACTGCATTTAAGAAGCAAGGCAATGGAATGTGACCCTTGTCACTCTCCTGACCATCTCCTTGGCCACCTGTGGTGGTCCTGTCTCCCCCAGGGCTCACAGGGACATCATACTCACAGCAGTAATCATCCCAGGAACCTGGCACTTCCTCTTTGCTGTAATCAAATTCAAATAATTTAGGAAATCGACAAAATTCAAATTCCTTTTTACTTCTCGCTCCATTTTACACAGAATATATGGGGACTCTTGAGTTCCAAAGATGATTCTGTAGGTATTCCATAATTTTCTTAGCAAGATATTCAAACTGAACCCTGAAAGTGATTCAGTTAGAGACACACAATTTTAAAATGTAACACTACCCTGGCATTTAACATCTGTGGACATTTTATTATTTGGCTTTCGGGTCTTTCTCCTTAACCTGATATATCTTAAACCCTTCAATAGAAAACGTACATCTTTGCATTGTTCACATGGACTAGCATAGAATTAGCATAAAGAACTAGCACACTAGCATGGGACGATCTCTGTGCTATGTATTAGTATAGAGTCCATAACTAATTCTGTAGAACTAACTCTATGCTCTAGGCTAGCCAAGAGTTTAGAATATGTATTAAATAAATGAATAAATGATATAGAAATCATTTAACCAAATGCTTTCCAAATTCTATTACTAATTTCTAAAACATTACATTTCTAAAACGTGTTAGGAAATATATTTAATTTGGTTAGAATGTTTTTGCATCTAGTTCTTTTTGTTATTGATTTTGTACACAGCATTGTGGAATGCATAATGGTTTTAAACATAGGCATCACCACAGCTAATTCTCTGTGCTTTAAAGTTATTTTAATTGTTTCATCAAGATAAAGGAGCTTCTAAGGATATAACTTTTACCAATCCACCAAAATAAATAAGATACATAGTTTCAGTTTATACAGCCACATGCAATGTATTGATTGATGGTGCTGAGAAACATATTATGTTTTCTAAGAAAAGTTCCTGAGGATTAGATGAAAATGTATTATAACATGCATTCAAACTAGACGAAAAAGAGCTACTATGTTTATCAAGGGTCATAAAACAGGGGAAGTCCTGGACTGGTAATACATCAAAGGCACTTACAGATCACATGTGCACTATAGAGTCAAGACAGAAAAATGAAGGTGGCCTGGCTTAGGACAGTAAGCAGAAGACCTCCCTGTGAAAGATTCCATTCCATTGATGGCTCTCTGAAGTATAGTCATTAATTTTCTGCTACTTCTTTGCTATAGTGACAAAAACAGGTCACCATGAAATAATTATATAAGACTTAGCTGAAGACTCTACCGTCTTGCCCAGCCTTAGTTCGCACCTTCCTCTATAATCACATTGATCTTTTACCAGGAAATCTATAAAAACTTGAAAAAAATCTCTTTATCATAAATGTATATAATTAAAGAAAATAATAGCTTCCCTATACAAAGGCTGAAAAGGCGAGCTTTTACTAAGTGACCTTTCATCATTTTGTTTGTCACACTTTCTAAAAATTACTTACCAAATGGGTAATTTCTTTCTCACCTTTGGAGCTGGCAGGCTTCACACTTAGAATGTGGAGCAGCTACCTGAGCCTTCAGTGGTCCTTTCAGACTAGAGCAGATACTGTGATTTGTGTCTCAAATATTTTGTCTGATATAAAATGTCATTTCCTAAGAAGCATGTTAAGTTGATCATTGACTTCATTTTCCAGTGCATGTATAGAATTTGGCAGAAGCTGAAATTCTTTAAATTTTTGCCTACTAAGATTACATTGTAGCACGGACAACGCCAATATTTTTAAAGTCTCATTTTTACTTTACTATTTTTACTATCCTAGGCTTCATAATAGAAGTATTGAATTTATGATTTTAAAAAGATACATGGCTAAAAAGTTCAAAGCCTATTTTAGTTTTAAAATATATCTTAAAAAAATTAAATAAAATAAATAAAATACACATTCCATTGTCATTACTATACTTCCGGGCTAATATCACCCTGTCTCTTCCAGAGGGTGAAGGATTGTCTTGGCCCTAGTGAGAGCGGTCTAATGACACCAGCTTGTGCATCATATTCCATGGGAACAAAGCTAAATTTCAACAAATTAATTGATGGAACTCATTCCTTTTTTTTTTTTTCTTTTGAGACAGAGCCTCAAACTGTCACCCTGGGTAGAATGCTGCGGCATCACAGTTCACAGCAACCTCCAACTCCTGGGCTTAAGCGATTCTCTTGTCTCAGCCTCCCAAGGCACCTGCCACAAGGCTCAGCTATTTTTTGGTTATAGTTGTCATTATTGTTTGGCAGGCCCAGACTGGATTCAAACCCGCCAGCTCTGGTATATGTGGCAGGTGCCTTAGCTGCTTGAGCTACAGGCGCCGAGCAGGAACTTATTCCTCATTAACTTTTCCTTCAGGTTCTTCCAAGACAAACCTGTGGACTTTTCACTCACACAATTTTCTACAAAGAGTATCCCGGAGGTCCTAAAGAGCTGGATAAGAGTATCCAAGGAGGGGAACTTTTCTTCACTGTAGTCCTCAACCCCGTAAGTATTCCAAATCATTCTTGAAATTAATAATGAAAAATGATCAAATGAGTGAAAATTACCCCAACAAAGAGGCAAGGGACTGGGTAGTCATCAGCTCCATCAATATGGAGTTCTAGCCCTAACCCAGCAGTAACAGCTACGTGGAACCACATCTGGAAACTGTCAATAGCGTGGGAAACTCCCAGCAGAACCAGGGAAGTGTTCCCGCAGATCCTCCTCGGTACCGGAGAGTGACCAGAATTTAGAGATTCTTGCTTTTATGGAGAATAAAACTATAAAACACTCCTGTTTCCAATGGGGACCAGTTTATTAATGTGTTTGTTTGTTTGTTTTTAATCTAGGCAACCATTCTTGTTATCCTTTTTTTCTATTTAAAATTAGTGTATAAGCAAAGTGATAGAGGAGTGACATAAGCAAATAAGTCATAGTTTCCACATTTTTGTTAGATCTGGTCTTGCTAGGTCACTGACTGAGGCAGAGTATCCCATTTAAAGGGCTGCTGCTTTACTCCCGATACTAGTGTGTCAGCTCCGCAGTGAATCCTTTGCACACGTACCTGCTTGAGGCAAGTTTTAGGAAGTTGTGTGGAGAAGGAACTCACTGAACTAAGCCGTACAAGGAAAAGAATGGATTTGATTTCCTTTTGGAAAATTGCTAGCTTAAGAAGGAAAGATAAGTTTATTTATCAGGAGATGTGTGGGTTTGCCCCTAGCATTAGCAATATTCAAGATGAAAAAAATGTAATTATCTCCAACTGTGAAAAAGTGTCTAAGAGTAAAAAATGTTGAATAAGGTAGAGAGTACAATTTGAAAGACCCCTTTCTCGATCTTGGGTCAGAAGTCTTGCAAATACAATTGCAGACACTGTGTTCTTGTTATTCTTGTATTCATCTATTCGTTCTATTCTTGAGTTCCTAGAAAATGGGATAGAAGTGAGGGTAACTCATCTTTGGGTAGAATCTATATGTATATTCAAAAATCAGCATACTTTGAAGTAATGTGGCATTTGGCCCTTTGGAAATTTATCAATATTCAGATCCCTAAAATACAAATAACTCTTATTTATACATCAGAAATCATCATAAGCGCCTACCTAAAGAATCAGTTGAAACACTCTTAAAATACTAACATTTTGCTAATTATTTTAGACATTTTAATTTATCATCTATAAAATTCTGATGTACATTTTCTTTCCTCATATAGCCATAGGGCTATGAATCATCTATTTGATTCTCTTAACCAGGAATTGCTTTGGTGCTTAAGAAGTTCCTGATAGTATTGTTATTTCAGAATTTCTAAACCAACTGAGTTTCATTTAACATGGAAGAAATTCAATATTAAGTCACTCATGTGCAATAGATTTATGCTAGGAATTACACTGATTTGTGATAAGAAATCTTAGGCCTTTCATTGGTTAAAAAACAAATTATTTCCTTAATTTAAAAAACTCATAGTAAAGCTGTGTTAATCTTGCACACTAATGGGACTTACTGAGCAAACTTGTTTGCAGACTCCACTACTTTGCACGCCTTTATCAATCATCTTTGGCAGTTTTATTTGTCTTGATGAGGAGATGCCTACGGAAGAAAGAGGAGGAAAGGAACGTCACAAACTTATTCTTTCCAGATTTAGAAAACCCCCAGTGGATAGTTACTTTCAGAAAAACACTAGAATTCAACACAAATAACAAATCCTTTCATCCATCACAAGACAGAGGAGGAATCCAAAATTAACTTAATCTGGCACACCACAGCGAATATTGGAAACGGTTCTCTTTCCCTGAGACACGTGGTTGAGAAGCCCACATGGAGACTCAGCCCAAGCCTCACCAAAGGAAAGACGGCTGCTATTAACAAGTGATGTCCACTTTGCAGAACAGGGTAAGGAGCAGAAGCACGGCTCCCACAAATCCTCCATTTCGAAATTAAATGCTTAGATAAAGTCTGTGTTGAAATTGAGAAAGATCCGGGTGTAGTGAGGCATGCTAATAATACAGCAGATAACATTCTTTATTAGGTCAGAATGAGAACGAGAAAACCTTGATGGAAGCAAAATATACAACAGGTGCAGAAAACACACAAATTTTAATCACAGTGGATTTGAAAGATAGCCGTGGTACATTCAAGTAATACCCCACAGGCCTCAATTAGAAGTGCCATTTTCTAAAAATTGCCAAATGAGGCTATTGTTTGCTACAAATAGGTAGATTTGTCTTCGAAACATGACACTCAAATACATTCAATTGCATGTAAGCTGAAAATGAAAACATAAGCAGGTTGCATTTTGCTTTTTTTTTTTAGTATGGTTTTATATTTTTCTCCTGTAATAGCAAGGTGCTGTAATAACTTTCACCAGTACTGGAGCGAGAGGTGGCTGTAACAAGGTGACTCTCAGAGTCAAACTGAATAGATCACAGCAAAATTAAAGACTCTTTAAACACAGTAACTCTCTGGCCTAAAATGTCCTACTGTTACTGAAGTATTTTTAGTTACAAAGGAAAGAAGTGTCAATCAAGTGAATGAATAAAAATAAAAAGTGATAAAGTCCAATGCTAGCCCTGAGTAAGGGAGAGAACACCTTGGCCATTTAAATGGCCATTCCTAATGTGATGGGTGGACACCCCTGATGTAGACTGGATGCAGAGGTTGTTTTCTGGCTGTTGTTTTGTGTTTTTCTTGTTTGTTTGGGTTTTGAAGTTGATTGTTTTTCAAAATATTAAGAGGATACAAATGTTTTTGTTCCATGGCTAGACTGTAATGCTGAAGTCAGGGCTTTTCAGTGAGCTCACCACCAGGAGAGTGTTCATTGTACCAGACAGGTAGGTTTACCCCTCACTCCTGCCCGCCTTCTTAGCTTCCAATGCCTTTACCTCTTTTAACGCCCATGGGTACCCATAGTTTAGCTCTCACTTGTTCGTGAGAACATGTGGAAACTGTTTTTCCATCCTTGAGATACTTCACTTAGGATGATGCTCTCCCAATCCATCCATGTGCATGCAGAGGTTTTGATTACCAGACTTTGAGTTTCAGATCCAGGTGGGAGGTAGACCTACCAGGTTATCTGATGATAACGATTTCAATTCTTCTCATTCTACTTTTCCTGATTCTAAACTCAACCAGAAACTTCCCTTCCTCATTATGATTTACTGTGCTATGGAGATCCTACTGTAGGAAAACGATGTGTTAGGAACTCAAAAGGATCTTCATTAGCGATATAATTTTATAAATTTTCTTCTAATTGATGACTATTTCCCATGCATCTTGACTACCAGGAAAGGGCCCTCTGATTGTATAGTCAGTAATTCTGCAGTATTTCAGTTTCTGTCTAATTTACAATTTCTCATTTCAAACTAATAAATTCCAAATAGCCTTTTTAAAAATTAATTGCTTTCATGGGCTTTGCTAATTTGCTCTGCCCCTGAGAAATGGATTCTTGTCAGTGTGCTAAAGCAAGCTTCATAGACTGTCAGGCTGAGGAACAGACTTAAAGTATTTGTTGATTTATTCAACATGGAAGAAATTACCTTGTAAGATGCCATGGGACAGAGCCACTGGAAGCATGTAGTGTCACTATTAGCTACATAGCCACACACATGCACACAGTAGGAAACTTCTACACAAACATGTAATACACTCGAACACAAATACTCTTGATCAATTCACAATTCTACAGCATACCCTTATCTATATATATTTTTTAATAGTGAGTATCTACTTACTTTAGGTACCTATATAAAATAATATGTAGAAGGATATTAAGAACTAAAATTTATAAAAATGACCAAAAATGTGCCTTCTCTCAATAAATAAAATCTTATAAAATGTATGGCATCTACAAAAGGATAATGTGCTAAGGGGAATCGTTCTGGTTTGGACAGGATTATACCCCTTGTGGGAGCCATATTATCATCCCCACTCTCAACAAAAATGTCCCTTTTTAGCTTCAGTCTTCTTATTTCTAAACACAAGCTATTATGAAGCTTTGCTCATGCTCTGTTAAATGACAGACTAGGTATTGAGTAATTGACAGTTGATACATGCTGATATGTTTCACTGAACATGCTTGATGATAATGTCAGGCCTTACTTTATTTATCAACCCCCCAAAATTGACAACAAGGATTGTGGATTGCCACAAGATTCATGCTCTTCCCACACGTGCTTGGACTTGAAGTGGAGCAAACTCCCAGCAGCATAGCAGTATTATACTTTCCTCATCAAACCTTTAGCCATCCCACAGAAGCATTAGCGGATCCCTTTATGCTCACATTGGATTAAATGCCTTTGTCTCTTTGTCTCTCAGTTTATTATAGCATCTTCCCATTATACCATCCATACCCTCCTCTCTAAGTCTCTGAAAGCTAAAATTCTAACTTGGGCTTGTCTTATTAAAGAAGAAACATAAACATGATTGTGAGTAGAGTATATGTCTTAAACTAAGAATGACACGTGAGTAGATTACAAGTAAAACAATATTCACCCAAGGAGATAGGCTGTATACATAGAAATTAACCCACAGAGAAATATTTTTAAAAACTGTAATTTGCATGTGTGTAGATAATGTGTGCTTACCTATAAATTTCATCTAAAAGGAAATAACTTTTTGTCCTAATGGGAAGTTTTGTGTTTCTTTCTTTCCTTATTAACTAGTCCTAGAAAACAGTCTGACAACAGAACATAATAAATAAATGATAACAAGAATAATGTTAGACAGTAGGAAAGTAATTCTTGAATATGCCTAATAATGAGTCGGGGCACTTGTTTAAAACAAACCCAGACTTAATGCATCAGAAGCCTCAGGGGAGAGTTTTTAGGCTCTGTATACTTACCGTGTGAGTCTTATGATCAGGCAAATTCGAGAAATAGTGCAGAGTAAGAAGACGTAGAAATACTTTTGTTAATCAGCATTTCCAAAAACTGCTATAGAAATTGTGGACCTAGGACCAAGCATCAGAATTGAAAATGACCCCAAATCTGCAGTAGGACTTAGAAAACCAGT